TCTGTAAGGCAGAGTTAGTGGTTTTGATAATATTTGTGCGGAAGGCTCTAAACAGAAGGTTAACTTTTTGTGAAGAAATGTCCCATGAAGAGTCAAATAAGAGCCGTGAGCTCCAGTAGGTAACAAAATACTGCTTGCATGCGTGCACGACAGTACAAAATGACACAAGCGATCAATAACTTTCTTCGTACCCCATCGGCGAGAGCCATTGTGACAGAAACACAACAACAATCTCTCGCCCAGAATAATGACTACCTATCCGCATATAGATTATCGGTAATTCTAAATGTAATGTTTTTGTGATCAGCCTTCACACATACACCCCTGTGCCAAATGGTAGCCGCTTAGCTCAATGTTGAAAAATTTCCGCTCCGCAGCGGGACCCATAGTGCGAGCGAATCTCTCGCTGGCATAATGGCTACTGGCCTCTCCTCTCGCCAACACTGAGCGCCGTTATATTTTCGCATTCCTTTTTCTGGATTCCTTCAGCAACTGCACCCTCCGTCACGCTGGGGTAAAGGATAGGAGGGACGCAGAAAACTCTGTCGTCGCGCTTGAAAGGATCGAATGTATATTATAGTAAGGATGATCTAAGCTGCTAACGGCTCATTTTGGCTTACCACTCCAAAACTCCACTAGTTTTCGAAGAATGCTTGGGATTTTACTAATTCGTAATCAAAATACAAACAGTTGGTGCGCAGTTTTAGCACACATCGCGCTGCGCTCAATATACTACCATAGTTCGAGTCCGCGACATCCAAAGTAAAGTTATGAAAGAAGTCGCAAAACTTGATTAGGGTCCGGCACGAGGTGGGCAAACGGGGTTTTCCAAAACGAATTCCCCTTTGATCTCAATATTTTTCACGAATACCCCCTTGGGCCCAAAAACGATGATTTGTGCAACGGGAGCACCGGCCACGCTGCGCCTAGCGCTCAAGAGCGCCTAAAATGCTCAAATTCCTCTAATTAGTCCTCCCCTGTATCAAAAAAGAAAACAGGAAAAAGAATAAGCAAGAAAAATGATGAAAGAATAAAGAAATATCAAAGTAATGCAATCATAGGACTGAGAGATGCTGTTTCCCCGCGTATCGATTTGGGCGCGCTTTCCTTCTTATCAAGCTAGGCTGCTGGTGCGATTTTGGGTTCTAGCAAAGACAAGAAGAGGAGTTTCGGAACCAAAATCTCAACATGTAGTAAACTTCAGGTGTACAACAGTTTACGTAAAAATTTGAAAAACTTATGTGAACTGAAAGTTTTGCCTACCTCAGGTGGGCATTAGGTGGGCAATTGCCCACTTAATTCGGAAAATAGTTAAGCACGCTCTTTATTCACATACGTTTTCCACAATTTTTCGTATATTTTTCCTTAGTCCTACTGCGCCTATACACACCAAGTCTCGCGCGATTTCGTTTTCTCTGCGCTGCAAACAAGCCATTTTTCTATTTTCTTGATAGTAGGAAATTTCAGAAAAAGGTTGCCGCAACCTTCAGTCACATAATTTTTCAATGAAACTTCTAAATTAAGCCCTGCAGGCCCGTGTTCCTATCAAGTTTCATATCGTACGGTAGTGTGCGCTGCAAACGAGCCATTTGTATCCACATCTTCATTTATCAGTTCTGCAAAATTTTTGGAAAAAATGCTTATTACACCTCCCATTCACATAAGTTTTTCATAATATTTCATGCCTTTCTACTAGCCTCTCTTCGTTCGCTTACGTAATTTGGTGCTATATCGTTACGCCTGCATTGAACTGATCATGTAATCATGCTGTTCAGCGCCATCGCTTGCGCGACATCGCGCACGCGGCAATTGGCGGCGGCGCGGCGTAGCGCGCGCGAACTCTGCGGTGCGTTGAGGCTTCTGAAAACTACTTCCCAATGAATCAGATGTATAACGTAATAAGCATGATTCGATCTTCTTTTGCTTGCACTTGGAATCTTCTACCGGTGCCCTGCCCCGGACCCCTCAAAAACGATTTCCCCCTTGCTTTTTCCACCAACAACGATTTCCAGCCTGTCATTTGCCCACCTCGTGCCGGGCCCTGAACTTGATTTCCAGCCTAATAGTCTGAAAAGGTTTTAAGGTTTTACCATCTTTTGAAACGCATTGCAGATGTTGTATTGAGAGTTGATTTATGGTGTCATAGAACAAATGGTCAGGACTTTGAATTTGTAGAAGTAAAAGAAGTGTGAGGAATAGAGTTAGGCGCTAAATTTAGGTCGAAATGACCTAATCACAAAACATCAAGCACTTGTCAGCGGCACCAACATCGCGACAGCTCGAGAAATCTGCTTCAAAAGCGATGCATTGAATGCGTGTGGGTTTGGGGGGGGGGGGGCTGTGATTAGCTAAGCGGATGTCAGGTTCCTAGCGTATTCTCCGCTAGGAGCTTGGAAGCTGACAGAAAAAAATTTACAAATCAAAGACTATGGGTAGCGCAAGAAAAAAAGAGAGATTCATGCGGAGAGGGGCGCTGCACAAAAAAATGAAGTAAGATGAGTGTGCAGCGTCACTTCGTCTTGACGCCAACACGCACAACAACTTTGCGCCAGTCTGGGTTCCTGGCGCACGCAAACACCGCGTGGCCGTTCCTACCTTGCCGTTTTCGCTTGAAATTCATCTTTTACAACAAGACTTGGACGGACGTGTGGTTAAGGGCCCAGCATTATGGCATCGAAATCTAATCACTCTGAGTTTCAGTGGACGAGGCAGGGCAGACACAGCGGAACCAGGTTCTTGGTGGACATTATTTTGGAAAAAAAGCAAAAGTTGATATTATTTTTGCGAGTCCTAAGCGAGAAGCAGCAAGGCGTCGGCCAGCAGACGGCATGCTATACCCTGAAGGAACTAAAGCGTTGTTTACAATCAAAGCTCAGGGGTATGACGTCAAACGAACTGCGCATGCGCGTGAGGAGATTCGCACTAGGAGCCAAAAATTTTCGAGAACTTATGTGATTGGTGGCCGTGCTTAAGTTTTTCTGAATTAGCTAAACTTTCCAGCTGGGTTCCAGTTTGCTCATATAATTTTCCATGCTTTCTACATACACATTCACCCTAAAAATTTTCATACGAGCAGAAGAAGGTTTCATAGTCTTCCTACAAGGCTTTATATTCCCTCAAAAAACTTTTCATCAAGTGCACAATATGCTACGATCGCAAAGCGCCCACAGCAAACCACGTTTGATGTTGATTATGCTTGCCGTTTTATTTCCCCTTTCTCATTGTATGTTATTTTTTGTCGTACATTTTTGTCATCGTTCTCAGGGGAGGGAGGGTGAAAGTGGATGGGACATGGAAAGGTTGGAGGAAAAGTGGAAAGTAAGGGAGATGTGGTCACGCAGGTTTCGGGTGCTGACCGTGAGTAAAACAGTTTGGCGCATGCAAAGGGTGATAGAAATTTTGGAGTTTTTGAGAATTGAATGATGAGAGGGGTTTTCACCCTTGTTTCCCCACTATTCTGCTTTGAGCAACAGCACAAGCAAAAAGACAAATGAGAAGTTGTGACAGGGAGAGGGAGAGAGAGGGGAATGATGTCCTTCAAGGCCCGTATGCACGCACATCCCCGCTGGGGAGGCGGGGAGCTGGATCCCCAGGGGAACGATCCCCTCCACTAGCTTTCAGCGTTTGAGAGTTCGGATACTGTTTCGCAGCCTCAGATTTAGCATTTGATTTTGGAGGTAGTGATCGAACGAACCCCAGTGGGGATCCCTTCCCTTCCCCGTATGCACGAATGTAACTCAACAACGCAAGGGAGGGGATCGACATCCCCTACAGCGAAGTAGCGGTTCAGCGGTGTAAGTCATGCCAGAGAAGCGAATATTCTGATTCTAATCAGTTATTACAAAGCATTTCGTTTGATTTGAAAAAGTTTTCTTTCAAAGTCAGGTTCCTATCCCAGTAACTAGCTTGCAAATTTATCTCTCTCTTCTATTTTCGGTTTTCGCGAAGAGATTCGAGCGATTATCTGCCAATTTCAAACGTCTGCAGGAGTTTTTGGTCATTTCTGAAATCTTCGCTGTTTTCATATGACAATATAGTTTTATCCATGTAGGCTACTCGAACACATTGTAACTATAGTATCACATATGTTATGTTGCCCTTATCTTCTTATCCCAACATAAACTGCTTCGAAAAAAATCAAAAAATTAGCAGATTGGCCTATTTCTGAATAGAGATTTCCGGGAGAGTGATCCCTCCCCAGTGTTCCCCTCGTGCATAGCAGGAATGACAGCTGGGGATCATTCCCTCGAGGTAACGGACGATATATCGTGATAGCTGCAGCCTTTATAGAGAGCTGGTACAATTCGCAGCTTCTGTTATGTGATAAAATACTGCTTTAAGTGTCCGCGCCCCCCCCCCTCCCTTTTCGGCGCATAACGTCCTCTACCCATTCCCGTGCAGAGACACCTTGACTTCTATAGTTTAACATTTTTACGCTGAAATGGGGCAGCATGAGCGGAAGTGGGAATCATTCAAGAAAGCATGAACGTCGTGAAAGTGAAAAAAATCATTTCTGGTGCGCCAAGCGCAGTCACTGCATAAGCGCGTTCCGCAACCCTAAATTATTAAAATTGAGGAGATGAAGATGAGTTTCAGTAAAAAGATGAATATAAAAAAGAGTTTTTCATAGAAAATTTGGAAGCAAGGTGATCTTTCTGCTGGATCCCCTCTTGTGCATAAGGGGGTTCACTTCCCCTCCCCACAGGGGATCCCTTTTCCGATATTGTCTTTATGCATACGGGGGTTCGCGTGGGGAGGGAAGGGGGTCCCCAGCGGGGATCATTTAAATGGTAAAACGCACATCCCCTGCGGGGATGTACGTGCATGCGGGCCTAAGAGCAAAAGAAACTTTGTAAGAAAAATTTTAAATTAAAGGAAGCTTGGTTTCAAAATCTGCCTGGCAGATGGTGCCGAGCCTCAAGAAAATATTCAGACATTTGATAATTTTCAAATATATCAATGAGGCCGATAAAATTTTGTGCTACACTCAAACTTTCAATTTACAAAACAACACTTACGAACAACACACTAACAGCCATATACCGTAAGCCGATCATGATGGCCGTTCCTCCGTCGCAACCGATAATGTTAGCACCATGTTCAACGAGCACCTTGAATTGTTTTTTGTCATAGTATATGATTTGACCAAAATAACCCACACCTTGACTGACTCTAGTGCGTTCATTGCTACGGCTTGTAGGAACGGTGTGAAGCCGCATTGGTCGCTCTCATCGATGGTGTCAGGCTGAAAATTCACTGCTAGTATAAATGTTGAAATAAGGTGGGTTTTTCAAGGTTCTGAGGCAGAGTGAAAACTAAGAAATGCAAGCGGGGTACTTTTTCATATAGTAAAGGCTCTACAGGATGGAAATTTGAAGGCGCATGATAAGAGCCTTGAACGTAGGAATCCCGTTGATACGACCCTATAAACATCTCACTAAATCAACACCAACATCGTGACGTTCCTAAGGGTTTCTGTGCTAATGAAAGTGCTTGTCATTTGAAGCATATATACGTAATATTTTTTTAGAGCTTAAATGGAGTAGTGGTAATTCGACTAAAAGATGTATCACACTTGCTTGATTCAAAGCGGTTTGAGCTCTCCAGTATGGCATTCAACCAATCCAAAGAGGCCACTTCGACTAAACATGCTTTCCTTTTAGGCGTCGAAAGCTGACATTGACTTTTGCACCGCATAGCCACTTCTTACAAGCAATCGATGTGACAATGCGAAAGCAGCAGTTTTATTACCCTAATTTCACGCGTACAAGGCGCGGGGTGGTCCTAGCTTTCATCGAGCTGCTCAGCCGCCCCAACGTGTTTTAAGAAGCGATCCTTATGCCGCACGATTCGTCAGGCAAAACGCAGCACGGTATGGGGTTCCTTTGGTTGCGAAGTCCTTTGCCGTGTTCGGGCTGGTCGATGAAAGCTAGGACTACCCCGCGCCTTGTACGCGTAAAATTAGGGCATATTCAAAATTATACCCTCAAAACGTATTGAAGGCTATGGATAGCTTACAGCGAGTTCAAGCAGATACCGCACAACATCAGCGCTGTTTTCTCCCGCAGCATGGTGGAGTGGAAGCTTCATTTCATCATCGCGCAAACGGGGGTCGTATCCGTTCTGAAGTCGCGAAGAATTAGAAATTTACGTTTTTTGCCTGAAAAATGTAGCAGTAGGTGACAGTCTACCTCAATCAGCGTTTTGCACACATCGCGATAACCTTTACTGGCGGCAGTGTGCAACATCCACTTGTGAATTCTAAAAGGCAAATTACAGGATAGCGAATAGTGGGTAAAAGGACAGATGCAGACTTGTCTATATCTGGGCGATCTTTAGGCATCAAAGCAAGAATGGTTTCCACAATACTTGGATGATTTCGATCCACGGCCAAGAGAAGCGGAGTTTTACCTTCCTTATTTGCTCTATACAACAGGTCTTCTCCTCATAAAACGCATGAATTACTTCACACAAATGATACATTTGTCCATAAGTACCAAAGCGAATCAAGAGCTGGAGAGTGTCGTTCTTGCCGCTGAATGCCGCCGCATGATATACGGTATTGTCGCGATTATCCACACGTGTGCAATCTGCTCCATTAGAGAGCAGTAGATGAACGAGCGCAGCAGAACCGTGGATGCAAGCTAACATCAGGGGAGAGACGCCATTTCTATTTATCTCCTGCAACACAGTTCTTTCGGTGATGCTTTGAGACGTCGTAAATCATGATAGCTTCGAAATTGCCACTCAATTCTTTTGTTCTCGTGCCTAGCAGTTTTTTCCTTTTATAACTCTACGTTTTTATTTCCGCACTTGTCAGCTAAAAGCGAAAAGAAAGCTCGAATCAAAGATGCGAGAAAAAAGTAGAATTTCCAATAAGATTTGCCAACTCCAAAATTTTTGGCTCGTGCAGACACATCCAATGCGAACTTCAACATCAAGGAGACTGCTGTCTTGCACGCTGAACAACTATATGAGCTTTTTCCAATTAGTTCTAACAAACATTTCTCTACTCTTTGCCATACTCACATACTAACCCTTAACCCACGAAAGAATCATAAAAGTTACCGTTATTTTTTCATCCATTAGTTCCTTGGTTCGTTTACTTATTGGCAGAACTTCAGAAAAATTTGTTTCCACCTTTTCTCTTTCTATCTAAGATGTCAAAATAAGTGTACAGTTCTTCTCAATTTTTTCTCTATTCTTTTCAAGTAGATCCTTCATGTGACGAATTTGATCGACTTGTTTGTTAAATGTGATTTACTCTTTACAAAAGTTACTTGAGCGAAAGTTTGAGAGATATACAAGGATTTCAAAGGCTGTAGAAACGCAATATGCTGAGAATACTCGGATCTTCCAGCATTATAGATTTGATTGACAAAATGCCCAAGCCTTACGCGGGTTTCGCTTCTCGATACTGAATTGAGACAAGAAATCTACTTATTGATATAGGCTGTAAATACCGAAATTCCTCGCATACAAAGCGCGAGGGATTCTTTCCCAAAGTCGAGCAGCTCAAATACGCCGAAGGCTTCACGGCCAAAAGGCTCTATACTGTGCACATAAGAATTCATTTCCAAAACACAGTGAAGCGATTGAGCGGCATGCTAACAAGCGAAAAAGGTGCGCCTTGTACGCGTGAAAGTAGGATAACTCAAAGTTTGCGGTCCCCCACAATGATCGGCCGCCTCAATGTGGCGTGGGGGTGACACTGGGTGTCGAACTGCGATGCACAGCCGAGTGTATACTCTGGCAGGGCCTCCCAAGCTGTGAAAGAGTTCGACGTTTCCGGTTTCGGCCGGATGCCTAGCTAAGGCCGGCCAGGTCCCACCGTCGTCTGGTTTTCAGGTCGCTAGGCGGTTCTCCCCGCTCCAAGCCCGAGGTCAACGATCGCCCCGTGGAAATCATGAGTTGGCCTAGTAAGTCTGCGTGTAGGGGAAAAAACTCATTACTCTACCAGTAAGAAAAATAGAAAGAAACCCTGCACATCGGATCCCGCCTACGGCGCCGGGTGGTAGCAAGCCTGATGTCAGGGTCCTCAGGGCGCCTTTTGGATTGGACAAAAACGACACATCTGCCCGCACGACACGTCATGGAGACTGCCTCATGCTCTGCACCTACAACGTCAGGACAGTCTCCACAAACGCCGACCTCCACGCTCTTCTCGACGCTGCAGAGCACATCAAGTACTACATCATCGCTTTGCAGGAGACGAAGTCCAGGAAGAAGAACGTGCGAGAGATGAGTGATGGGACCCTCATCATGTCGTGATGAAAAGGTTCCATCACGAAACGTTGGAGGCGTTAGTTTTGTCTTCCACCCATCTATCGTCCATCTGGTCGATTCGCATGAGATCCTATCACCCCGACTAACCATACTACGACTACGCCCTCCACGTCATAAGACCATCAGCATCATCAACTGCTACTCTCCAACATCAGCAGCTGACGACTCAGAACTAGATGCTTTCTGCGAAGAGTGGAGGAGGTCGTCCGCAACGAAAAGTCCTTCTATAAGTATGTTGGGGGCGACTTCATGCAAAAATCAGGATGCCACTGAAAAACGAATATGGGGTCGGGAAGTTTGGATATGGGCTCCGGAACGAAAACGGCAACCGTCTCCTTGGGCTTCTCTGCGCCGCACGACTCCATGGAAATTCCATCTTTATGAAGAAGGAACATCGCCGGTGGACATGGGAATTGCTCAACGGAACTACTCATGCGGAGATCGATTACATTCTCACCAACCGAAGGTGGAGCTTGCTCGATGTCTCAGTAGTTCCATCTTTCTGCAGTGGCTCCTCCTTCGAGCGAAGATACTCAGCCGAAGGCTGGAAAAGAAAGTCTGTCACAGTGTTGCGAGAAGGAAGTAAGTCGTTTACGACGGTAACCTGGGAGAGCTCATACCAAGATGTGACTGGCCCATCGAGGAGGACCCAACGTACGACTACGACCGGCTTCTGAAAGGATTGTTAGTCTGCGGAGAGTGCGCCTTAGTGACTTCTGGGAAGAACTTGGAACGTATTTCGAAGACGATCAAGGAATTGCTTGAAAGAAGAAAATTTGAGGCAGGATCCGAATGCAACCCAACATGAGCGACTGATAGCCAACGCCAGTTGCAGAACAGCTTTGCTAGAGGACCTCAGGAAATACAGGCAAGCCAAGATACTGGGAGCAGCCGAAGGAAGACGAAGTCTCAAGAAGTGCCGAAGGGACGACCTCTGTGAATATCACGTACCGCTGGCTGCATTATTGAACGAAGACGGCACTCCGACTTTTACCCGATACAAGATGAAATCTATCGCGAAGAGCTTCTACACCAACCTCTTCCGCTCATCAACTCCCGTGGCGATACCCGTTGTTCCCACTGGACAAGTGTACAACCACGAATTCTACCTGCTGAAGTGCGCACGGCGATTCAGACCATGAAGACATCCACGGCTCTAGGACCAGACCATATTTCCGTCGAATTTCTGCGAGCCGGAGAACAACGTCTACACGCGATTCTCGCGTCGCACCTGACATCTTACCTTCAGAAGGAGAGCATTCCCGACCAGTGGAGAACGTCAAGAACGCCCTTCTTTTCAAGAAGGGTGAAGGGAGGATCTTCGGAACTACCGTCCAATATGCCTGCTGAGTGTGCTGTACAAGCTTTTCACGAAGATTATCCTCGCTCGCATATCTAGACACTGGATGAAGCCCAGCCCCAAACAAGCTTGATTTTGCAAAGAATTCAGCTGCATGGACCATATCCAGACGGTTTCGAGGGTCATAGAAGTCTGCCGGGAGTACCGACTGCCTCTCGTCCATCTTCGTCGACTACGAGAAAACCTTTGACAGTGTCGAAGCATCCTGTTTGCACTAGTCGATCAAGGAGTGGACAAAGCTTACGTGAGGACACTAGCCAACTGCTACAAGGACTGTACAACAATGATGCAGCTGTTCCATCGCCCACTGACCATTCCATTTGGGAAGGGGGTTCGACAACGGGACACTATTTCGCCGAAGCTGTTCACCGCGGCCTTGCAGTGGGTGATGAAGTCACTGGACTGGGAAGAGAGAGGCATACGAGTTGATGGGAGATATCTATCCAACCTTCGTTTTGCCGCAGCACGGATTCAAGAACAATATCCCGTCTTTGTGACCCAGCGGAATACGTTGCGAATGCGAAACATCGATGGGCCGGTCAAATAATGAGAAGAACAGACGATAGAAAGTCATCAAGAACATCTGAGTGGATTCCTCGCGGAGCCAAACGTTCAGAGGTGCGATGGGGGGAGCCGGACCCACCAAAAGTGAAGGTGGTCCCAGCTACCATTGGCCGGCCAAAAGTGAAAGTGGTAGTGCCGGACACTCACCTCCCAAAAACGTCGACCGGGGGGGGGGGGGGAACCGTTAACGTCGACTGAGCCTATCCTTCTAGGTCGTTGCCGCCAGTGCGCGAAAAAGCAAAAAAAGATTATTGAAAGCATATATTTATGTATACGGCGGCATATACAGTGACCGCCAAAAAGTTACGGACAAGCCGCCTTCCTTCTTTTCTTGCTCATTTTCAGATGGAAAATAAAGATGAAAAAATGGATGGATTGCATGGGGTGATAGAGCTCTTCAAGAGCTAGAAGCTTCACGTTGCGCTTTCTGGAAAACATGTATTATAAAAGTTTTGAAAATCTTTTTCTAAAAAAAGTTCGAAAATGGCCGCGTCACAATGTCGCGGACAATAATTCTTCGAACGCGAAAATTTTCCGTTAGGTCTTTTCTTGGAGCAAAAACAGAAGTTATCCGGACAGATTGGCATACTATATCGTAGAGCTCATCGAGGGCAACAATCGGGTTGGGTACTTCCAAAAAAACCCAAGCTTGAATTTTGTTTTGCTTTTTTTCAAAAAATAATTTTTAATTCTCTTCTTCAAGCCAAATTTCTCTACAGGGAAATCTCAAGGCATTCCAATAAGGCTGCTTGGATAAAGTGGATGCTCTTTGCCATCCTCTATGCATCGGACGTCTGGTGAGTTTCTTTGCTGAAAATGGCTCTTGACAGTGCGTGCACATGACCTCATCAGTACCTCACCACTGACTTGCACCGCTTCACAAGCTTGTAGCTCGGGCGCCAGACATTATAAGAGACTGTGCATGGGCTCATTCGAAAGAGCGTGACTTCCTCGACATGATGGTTTGCAAATCAGTTGAGTTTGGAAAGCCCCGGAAATTCTGCGGATGGGGTGACAAAGAGCAGCTTCAGTGATAGGCTAAGGATTTTTCAGTCAAAGTTGAGCAAAGCTTCTTTCGCCACCATTTTCATCCTGGAACTTCAAAACCGTCAATTTTCTTGTACTAGAGCCAATTCGGAGCTCTAGAACCGTTCTAGCGTTGATAAGAGTTTTCACTCCATTCACCTCTAAGGCTGCGCTTTATCACCCCATCCGCCAAATCTCTTCTGTTTCTCATACCCAACTCTTTTGCATGCCATCTTGTCCTTAAAGTCACGCTCTTTCGAATGAGCCCATGCACAGTCTCTTATAATGTCTGGCGGCCGAGCTACAAGCTTGTGAAGCGGTGCAAGTCAGCGGTGAGGTGCAGGTGGGGTCATGTGCACGCACTGTCAAGAGCCATTTTCAGCAAAGAAACTCATCAGCACACGTCCGATGCATA